TGCGGAAACAGAAACAACTATCACAGCATACCCATCAGAGATAACCAAGGCAGACTGCTCACCACAGCACAAAAACAAGACATGCAGTGGACTAAACACTTCTCCGACCTCTTGAACAGACCTGATCCTGAAAATCCCCCAGATATTCAACCAGCCTCTCAGGACATTGACATTATTACTGAACCACCAAGCAAACAAGAAATTCTTAAAGCTATCCACACTTTAAAGAACAACAAAGCACCAGGCAAAGACGCATTGTCAGCAGAACTTCTCAAAGTAGATCCCAACACAACTGCTAGCATTCTAGAACCATTGTTCAAGGATATTTGGGAAAAAGAAGTGTTGCCTGATGACTGGACTGAAGGGACAATAGTCAAAATCCCCAAAAAAAGGAGACTTAACAGACTGCAATAATTGGAGGGGAATTACTCTACTCTAAGTACCAAGCAAAATATTTTGTAAAATCATCATAATGCGGCTTGAAAAAGGAGTAGATAAATGCCTACGAGTGGAACAAGCAGGATTCAGAAAGGGCAGAGGAACAACTGAGCACATCTTCGCCATACGGAACATTTTAGAACAATGCAACGAATGGCAGAGAAGTATATATATTAATTTTGTGGACTTTCAGAAAGCTTTTGACAGCGTTCATAGAGACGGTCTGTGGAAAATTTTACGACATTATGGAATTCCAGAAAAAATAGTCAACATAATTGCTCTCTTCTATAAAGACTTCCTGCAGTATAAAAAAATACAATACATCTTTCCAGGTAAAGACGGGTGTAAGACATGAATGTGTTATGTCATCTCTCCTCTTCAACCTTGTGATTGATTGGATACTAAAGAACACAGTAGACAGGACATTGAGAGGCATACGATGGACTCTATTCACCATGCTTGAGGGCCTTGATTTTGCAGATGATATAGCACTCCTATCACATAAACATGAACATATACAAGAGAAAAGTAACAGACTAAACTGCACAGCAGAAATGGTGGGACTGAGAATAAATACAAAGAAAACTAAGATCATGACAAACAGTCCAAACCAACAACCAGTGACCACAAGCAACCAATCACTTGAACATGTAGAACATTTCACGCATCTTGGCAGAGTGGTGTCCCTACTGGGAGGGGCAGAGGAAGACATACAGTCACGTCTGAACAAAGCTAGAGCTGCTTTTGGAAGGATGATGCAAATCTGGAAATCCAACAATTACTGCAGAGGAACGAAACTCCGACTCTACAAGAGCATCATTTTGCTAGTTCTTCTCTATGGAGCGGAATGCTGGAGAATGACCAAAAAGGATGCACACAAGCTGTCCACCTTCCACCAAACATGTCTACGTAGAATTATCAAAAGTTTCTGCCCAGATACAATCTCAAACACTAAACTACTTCAAACCACAAACCAAGAAACTTTAGACAGTATGATTACCAAAAGAAGATGGAAATGGCTTGGCCACGTTGTGAGAATGACTTCTGATATACCTGCCAAAACAGCTCTCACGTGGACACCAGAGGGAAAGAGAAAACAGGGGCGCCCAAAAACAACATGGAGACGAACGATGGAAAGTGACCTGAGTGCGGAATCTTTGACATGGAAAACTGCATTGAAGATTGCACAGGACAGGAAAGCATGGAAAGTTCTCTCTGAAGCCTCATGTGCCACTAGGCATAACGAGAACTGATGATTAAGGAGCAAGGCAGTCTTTTTTTTGGGGGGGGGGGGGGAGAGGAAGGGGGTTGTCAGGATGGATTTCAGGGTTTCTCAGCCCCAACCCCCACCCAAAACCCAGGCTCTGGACACACTAATGAAGAGATAGATACACACACACTCACTCACACACACACTCACACACACACACGATGTAATAGCGAGGATAATCAGCTCAACTCATACACAGTGAATTCCATTACATGAGTCCCGTCTTGTAAATATGGCACCTAGTTGATTAATTGCCTGTTTAGCTGTCGATGCGTTGACACTGGAGTGATAATAAACTTCCAGAATACCATCAAACTGTCACTGAACATATTCTATAAGTAGAGTTTTGTCCCAGGTATATGATACCGAGGGAGCCGCTGTAGTTCAGCGGCTAGACTTTCGCCGTCGGCCAAAGGGCATTGCCAGGCAGGCCAAATCGAGTCGCAATTTTTAAAAAAAAACAAACATATCTAAGCTCCCACGTCGACACAGCCTAAAAGACGCAGAGGGTAAAGTCCTGTGAGGTAAAGGCGGTCAGGGAAATGCTAGCCACATCAACCACCGAGTGTCGATTTATCTGTTTAAACAATAAAGTTAGGACTTCAGCGTGATATTACCGATGGGCCTTTGCCCAAGTTTTTTTTTTTTTTTGGGTTCAATTTAAATCTGTTGATTTATATGCTTCGATAAATGAATGAATGATCGAATAAATGAATAAATAAATTGATATCGCTGCACTCTGGGCATACCCACAGGTGCTCCGTCTGTCCTTTAGTAACCAACAACACGCTAACACTACCCTGATTACACATTCGAACATGTTTCTCTGGCTACTTCCTGTGGCTTAGGCGTTGTGAGTCAGACTCGAAACTCCAACGTACCGCGATCGAAACCCACTTCTAGCTGCGCGGATTTGTATCATGATATGGGGCGTCGTAGGTCGACCAAGCCTAAAATGGGTACCAGGATGTATTTCATAGGGAAGCAAAGACGGCCGGCATAATGCTGACCTCATTACCCACCTAGTGCCGATTGGTCTGTCAAAATATGGGTGCTCTTTTCTTATGCCTCATGCGCCTAAAGGCCGTGAAAAGGGATCTTTACTGTAACTGTCCACGTCTTGACGTAGAAAGAAGTTAATGTATGTACGTATCAGCCTGCTCATATGGTCTCTGTGTGTGTCTGTTCGTGTGTGTCTCTTCGTGTGTGTATGTAGGTAAATGTGAATATGTGTGTGTGATATATGTTTGTGGATGTGTATGTGGGTGCGTGTGGTGTGTGTGAGTGTGTGGTAGGCGTGTGTATATTTGTTGGTGTATGTGGATGTGTGTGTGCGCGCCCGAGTGTGCTAATGTATTTTTTCACCCGTGCTTTTGTGTTCTTTCTTGATAATTATATTCTGCATGTTATTATAAACACATAATATGTTTTACTGATAAAATATAACTGCTGTGTGAAAGATGGGTGTTTAGAAAGGCCGAATGTAAGTGCGCAGTTCGAGACCCCATTAAAATAAATGTCGTTCGTTCATTCATACCCGAATCTCCTAGAGAGAAAATCCACGACATGATCCTCCTTTCAGAAGATACCAACTGCCGATGTTTAACCTATCTAGAAAAAAAAGAAAATAATCTCGAACAGAAAACTTGTTCCTGTGAAAGCAACAACCTTTGCTTTATCAACAGAAGACTCTAGAAAACAGGAACACGTTCACCTGATTCGATATTCTAGATGTATCTGAATGTTTCGATAATCCCCATTACCTGGGCGAGTGAGTGCTTGAGTGAGCGAGTGAGTGAGTTGGTGGGTGTGCGAATGAGTAAGTGAGTAGGTAGGTGAGTGAGTGCTTGAGTGAGCGAGTGAGTGAGTTGGTGGGTGGGTGTGCGAATGAGTAAGTGAGTAGGTAGGTGAGTGAGTGAGTGGGTAGATGCTTCAGTAAGTGAGTGTGTGGGTGAGTGAGTGGGGAGTTGAGTGAGTAGGTGGGTGAGTGAGTCGGCTGGGTGAGTGAGTGAGTGGCTGAGTGAGTGCGTGCGTTACTGAGTGCGTGGGTAAGTGTGCTGTTGAGCGAGTGAGTGAATAACTGGTTTAATTATCGAGTGAATGAGTGCGTGACTGAGTGAGTGAATAAATAAGTAAGTAAGTGAGTGAGTGAGTAAATGAGTGAAGGAGTAAGTGAGATTTGGGTCACTTATGAGTGGGAGGGGGAGGGGAGCGGCACATAGACAGAATTTCTCTAAGCAACGTTTAGAAAATACTTCTGTCTTGCCGCATTTTTCTTCCTTAAATATTCTGACAACAATCTGGTGCCCATATTTACGACACATTCTTGACCCTATCGATGATCTTCTCGGAAATGACAAAAGCTCCTCTTCTTGTTGAAGCGCACCGTGACCACTGCCAAGATACATAATTGAATGCTCACAATGCCACAGTTGCGTCAGTGGAATGAACTGAAGAACAATTGGGGGGCAAAATAAAAATGTCTTAGCGACCCCAGGTAACAGACTGCAAACCTTGCGGACATATAAGGGTATACGGGTATAAAGGGACAATTAATTCAGGAATGAATGAATGAATATTTGAATCAATGAATGGATGAATGAATAAATAATTGAATGAATGAACAGCGAAGACCGTAGTATGTAGCTCCCATGTTATGAATGTAAACATCTATATGAATTATGATTGTCCCTATAAGCATTATGGGGTCTCATTTTGTGAGAAAAGGCGGGAGGGGTGGGGGCGAGGAAAAAACAGAGGAAAAAAAACGGGGGTGGGGGGGGGGCTGGTAAACAGTCCATCTGCCTCCCTGCCGTCACGTTGTAAAAAGGCGATGAAGTTTTCGCTGTCTAAAATCGTTTGTGTTGAGTGAGAAAGCAACTAATAGAATCTAGCTGTTTATCTCAACAATGCACTACACTTTCAAGGCTAGATCTTAAGAAAGAGGGTGTGGGCTAGGAAGAGGGGAAAAGGAGGAGGAGGAGAATAAGAAAGCTAGAGAGAAGAAAAAAGAAGAAGAAAAAGAAAAAGAAGAAGAAGAAGAAGAGAAGAAGAAGAAGAAGAAGAAGAAGAAGAAGAAGAAGAAGAAGAAGAAGAAGAAGAAGAAGAAGAAGAAGAAGAAGAAGAAGAAGAAGAAGAAGAAGAAGAAGAAGAAGAAGAAGAAGAAGAAAAACAACAACAACAACTACAACAACAACGACAACCATGTCAAAAAGATGAACAATAATAATGACTGTAGGCAAATGAATTTTGTAAATTAATTATCAAATCATTAATGCATTTCTTCTGTCAGAATGCCCAGCAGGATGGGTTGAATTTGAAAATCACTGCTACCATTTTGTGTTCTACCCAACTTTTGCCTTCAAAGAAGCAACATCGGCTTGCCAGGTAAGTACACATTTAAAAAAAGGAGAAATTATCATTACCCACCCGCACAGGACTGCAGGTTACTTCTTAATCGATCAATATATTTGCTACTACACTCAGAGAAAGGCAAGAAGGACATATAACCAGATTACGACCGGTACTATTAGTACTGGAACATTGCGCTGGCTGCTGAAAATTAGGACAGAGCGCGCATGGGAACACCCCAGGTGCTGTCATGTCAATTCTTGACCCAACTCAACTCAACAATGATTACTGTACGGATAACTATATCAAGCATACAATAATAGTATTTGCAAAGCTAAGATAAAATAATACTAGCTGCTCTAGCAATCCTATCCGACGTGATGATGACCTCATCAACACAGAGTGCAGATTCTTTATAGACCATTCTATAAACCAATGAAAAATTCTCCTTATTGCTTGGACAGCTGAAAAGAACACCCCTTATGTTTTGAAAAAGACGAGGGCTCGAAGACAACTTATAGCAAACGTCAGAAAGAGTCAGACATCATTTTTGGTCATGTTATGAGAAGAGGGAAGCTGGAATATGTTGTGACTACTGGACAGCACTGTGGAAAGAGAGACATAGAAAGACAGCTGGATAATTTTCTTGATAGCCTTTTGTCTTGTCATGGAGGAGTGTTAGCACAAGAACTGACACACGTAGCGGCAGATCGCAGATTGTGCACAAGCATGATCGCCCACGCCAGTCGACTATGCAGTTCATGATGATGATGATGATGACACATCTATGTCTGGCATCGAAGTGGAATCCCTCTGCAAACCAGACTGAGGGTAAACACAGCGGCGGTGCTTCTGTGTGCTTGTGAAACATGGAGTGTACACAGACGCCGTGCAAGGAGTTTCAACCACTTCCATACAGTCTGTCTAAGAAAAATACTAAGAATCAAGTGGGGGTCTCGGATCTGTCGTACCGCATAGAGGTGGCATTCCTAGCACCGATACCAGTCACATAGTTGATGGGCAGGTCATGAAGTCCTCTCATGCCAAACCATCAGCTCCCAAAAATAATCTTGAATGGACAAAAACGCAGAAGCAGTCGTGTGTGGGGGGGGGGGGGGGGGGGGGGGGTGAGGAAAAAGAAAACTATGCAAGGACACTCTAAAGGCATCACTTTTAATATAGACCTTGACACCCAGGAGGCTGCTACATATGACCTGACTACATGGCGATTGCCCCTCCAAAGAGAGGCAGGGACCTGCGAGAATTTAAAAAAAAAAGGCAACTGTGCAGCGTAGGCAGGCTAGAAAGACCTGCAAAACAGGTTCTTTACCAGCATACACTGTTCCATAACCTCATTCTCTTAGTTCATTCTAAGCCCGTATTGGGCTCCGGGCTCACAGAATTCAACTATAGTTTCATGCTGGATGAAAGAAAGAGTAATCCTCATCACTTGTGATGGACGTAAAATATAGGTCTAACCCTATGTGCCCAATACGTCTCAAAGGGTGGACAAGGGTCTCCTGTATTTACTCAACAACCTTATCAAACATACATCACTAAATACATAAGCAACACTATCTAGCATACAATGATAACTGTACTGTAAACTCTGTTTGTTACATATTCAACTTTTTTGCTGACCTGTCAAAACTTTCAGTCATTCAATAATTATGCTCCTACATTATGCTACCACGTCCGTGGCTCAGGCGTTGAGAGACCGACTCAAATTCCAACATACCGCGATCGAAACCCACTCACTGCTGGCTGCGTGTATGTTTATCATGGAATGGTTCGTTGCAGGTCGACCCAGCCTAAAATTATTGGTGGGAAGTAAAGACGTGCTGGTCGAGGGCGAGGATGGGGATGGGGGGGCGGGTGACGGGGGATCACGTGACCCATCTATGTGCGATTTATATGTGGATTTTGATTATTAGTTCTGTAACAATAATGGGTGCTTTTTCCCATAATGGACTTATACCTCGATGCCTAAAGGTCTGATAAAGGGATCTTGACTTTACTTTTAACATTATCTTACCATGTAGTGCCACAGTGGGCAGGTAAATAGGGCACTATATGTTACAGAAAATAATTTACATTTTTGAAATTTGCCCTGGTCCCTCGCGGGGGGTCCCCGGGAAAAACCCCTAAAAAAGGAAAGGGTTAAAAACCCAGCATTAAAAAAAAGGGCCCGGAAAATAAAAAATCATGTCTGGATTATATCGAGGGAAAAAATGAAAGGGTTTTTTGGGCCTCTGAAAAATGAGCTAACCAGAAATGTATATGTATTTTTGAAAATAAAAAAATCTGGAAAAAAGGCAAAGAGAGATCAAAAAAAGAAAATGGAAAAATGGTGTAATAAAAACCTGTAAAAGTTTAACAAACCACCACTCAAGCCCCCCAAAAACAAGCCCCAGCCCAAATACAAAAAATCCCCATTTTGGGGCAAAAAATTTTGGTATCATTTGAGGGGAAAAAGAAGAAGCGAAGAATAATTTTTTGATAGCATCTCTCTCAAGAAACATCTCCCATTTTCCCAAACTTTATGGGTAGAAACAAATGAAAAAAAAGTGTTGCCTATAAAAAGATTGAAATCAACGGGGCATAGAGAACTTCAAAATCCCGATACAAGGGAACGGCTTCATATCCGGGGGCCCCGCAGAGATTGACCCCAGAAATATCAGATACACCGAAAGTACTTTATAAGAAGCAAATAAAAAAGGGGCCCCTTCCAGAGAAATCTTTTTTCCCGCCCCAAGGGGGAGGCCCCGGGCAAAAAAAAAAAAAAAAAATTTTCCCCAGGGGGATTAGGGAACGAATAAAAAAGACTATGTCCCAAAAAACCCCACATACAAAAATAAGGAAACTAAACTATGGGCCCTGTGGCGTTGATAGTTTTTCAATCAAACACATCTTTTCTCGTTATTTCATTTTTTTAAAGTCCACTTTGGGGATCCTTTCCCAGCCATGATTTTTAGCTTGTTTTCCCCATTATCTCCTGTTTGGGCCTCCCTCTGCCCCTTTTTTTTTTCCCCCAACTTCCCAAAGGTTTAAGTTGTGTGCCGTTTTCCCCCATTCAAAAAGATATGACCAAAACCCCCCCTCCCCCCCCCCCCCCCCCCCCCCCCCCCAAAAAAAAAAAAAAAAAAAAAAAAAAAAATATAGTTTCCCCTTTGGGTATTAAATGTAAAAACACAATTTTAATTACTGATTCCCCCAGATCGATGGCGCTTACCTGGTCAGTGTCAACAGTGACTCGGAGTTTTAACCCCCGTCTCTGCCAGGCTTTCCGAGTGATCAGGGCCGGTAGGGGGCGCCGTTCCTTCTTGTTTTTTTCTTT